CTGGTAGGGTATTGGTCCTGAGTGCTGGTCACACTAAGGTAGGATAGTGGGGGCAAGGGTACGCTAGGAGTATCGACGCGAGGATGGGATGGGAGGTAGCCTCGTCTTCTCAGGGCAACCATGGCTGACCGCTCCCGGTAATCACCGTGTGCCCAGTAACTGGTCCCTACAACACCCTAAGAAAAGAAGGGGCAAAATAAAAGAGTGCTTAGAGTGGTGTCCTGATCTGAGCCCACCCTACTCATAAGAGTTGTGTTTCTTACTGGCAGCTCCATGGGATAACAGAGCCCCAGACTGACAACTGGAATGACCACAGCCCTGGGAACAACGATTGAAAGTCTCTGTGTTGCAGGATGTATCAATGGGGCGCTGGACCCCGTATCCAGCAGGTGCCGCTACCCACCAATAGATGGAGCAGCCCGGCAGATTAGCCCTCAATTCTGACGGTTCTCTTATGCTCAAAGCCGCAAACTGAAGGAGGAAATGGTCATATCATGGTCATGTCTTTTACGAACTACGCTCCTTTTGTGACTACCTTCTTCCCCCGAATACAATGTACGGTCATTATAGGTGTATTTAGACTGAAAGATACCCCAATTACAGCTATAATGACCGTACGTTGTATTCGGGGGAAGAAGGTAGAAGTGCACGAAATGCCCAAATCCGCCCTTTTCATTGTTTTGTGAATTTGAGGTCCCAGTGGAAAAAAAAAGGGAAAAGGAAAGGAGAAGGAAAAATGAAAGGATATTCCAGCTCAGCCTCCCTTTGTCGCTGACAGCCTGTCATGCATGGACTTTGTGAGAGAGAGAACCTAGGATCCCAGAACACACGCCAGATAAAAAAAAAGGCTGTTCACAACACAAGGTTGGTTTTATTGGTTTGTGACTTTCGATGGTAGAGTGCAGACCGTGCTTACCTCCAAAAGATGACAAACAGAATCTTTCCCAAAGCTTTCGCGGCTCTTTCCCTGTCCATTCTCTTCTTACCCATTGGCAGTCGTGATTTGGCCTGTATGTCGTTTTGTGACGCGAATTTCATTTCAGCTCCTATCCTCTGCTACCTACAATGGACATTTAAACTTTGGCCTGTACGCTCTAACCCGCCAGTACTTGGCCCAGCTATCGATGCCGACACTCGAAACGTCCTGGGCGCCAAGTTTCGCCAAACCACAAGTGCACCGTTTTTTTGTTTTTTTTGTTCTGGCGGGTGCCTCCAGCCTTTGTGGTCCGGTACTCCGAAGCGCGCAGGTTGCGGCACGTTAACAGCTAAGGCCTGTGGCCGATAGCTGGGCCAAGTACTGGTGGTTTAATATGAAGGGAATTTCATTGCAGCTGCCTCCTTGCCTGCATATTATTCTAAAGGAGAAAAGGAAAGAGAGGAACATAGATCCTTTTATTCCAAGGGAGAAAAGGAAAGGGAGGAACATAGCTCCTTTTATTTTGGGAAACAGGACACAATCTTAGTATCTTACATCCGGTTATCTCCAAAGATTTGCCTTCCATTCCACTGCTTCCGGACTCTGTGGTGAGTCTGTGGTGGTGGACTGGACAAAGCAGCTGAATCTATGATAACGATTCTGAGAAAAAGATTACTTGGGAAGCTTGAAATGCAATCCTTCACTCAGTTGGTCCCATCTACTGATGTTAAGCCACCACTACCTCCTGCCTCTTTTTGCCGAGGCGAAAAGAACTGCGCTCCAAGCTTTGCCAAAGTCCCAGCGCGACTTTTCTTTTCCTTTCGGCTGGCGCTGCCAGCCTCTTTGGTCTGTAACACTGTTCACCCAAAGAATCGTGCATGATTCATTTTGGTGTTTCAAGTTTGCCGGTGAACGCTAGTGCCGGTTTAAAGGGAGAAAAAAGGAAACAAAGAAAAGAGAAAGCTGCGGCGCAGTCAGGGTTAGAGTTTGAAAATGCACTTGAAGCAAAAGGGACGGTAATGGTGAATGTATATAACCTAGGTTTGGGGTCCGGTGGGTCACGAGGGGGTGTGTTGTGTTCTTCGGATTGCCTGAAGTGCATTTTCAAACTGTTTTAGTGACTGCACCGAAGTTACCCCAAAAGAAAAACTCAGTTCATTGTTATGATTCACAATTAACTGTGCTGTGCGGCTTAGGGCCTCGCCGCACAATGCACAAAACGACTTTTCTCAAAAGTGTTTTGTGTTGTGCGGGCACCACCACACTGCAGCCTCGCTACCCTGACAATCATGAGCATTCGCGAGGTGTGAGGGCGCCTCCTGTTTTCACATTCATGAGGTTGTCCTCTCCCCCCCACCTTTTCACTCGCGAACTCCGAAGGTGCTTTGGTGAGCCAGCTTGGATTCGCCGAAATTCGTGAGTGTGCTCATGTAAGTCGAAGGTGGATATGCCTTTTTTTCTTTTTCTTTCGCTTGTGTTTGGAGCTGATCCCACCTCTTTTCTTTTTCGGAAGAAAGCAAAAAGAACGGTTTTGTAGGGCCCATCCCGCCCGGACTGTAAAAGAAAAATGGGATCCCACAAGGCCACCAATTTCGGTACTTTTACTGGGGATGCGGCGGAAAGTCATGGGCGGTGAGGAATACCCAGTTCCCGAGGAGTGTCCACCCGGACATTTGGTGGGGTGTTCTGTGGCATGCCGTTTTTGTGTGGAAGAGCGTGTGTGGCATTTCTCGGTACCAGACGTCGCTGAGCAACAGCGGCCGGTACCACCACGAATGGCCCAGCAGATGTTACCGATACCAAACGCTGAACTTCGCACCCGGTACTCAACCCCGTCTGCGCCCGCCGTGTTTCAGCGAGAGAGTACTCCACACCTTTCCACGCATTCCATCACTCTATTCAATATCGCCAACGTGGCGCATCATCGTTTGGGGCTGTGTGGCAATGCCACGTGGCGATTCGCAGTGCTGCGGATCTGGGCGTGAGTGCTGTTGAAAGGGGATCTGTCTTCCGTGGACGGGCATGGGTGCTTGGCCGTCGGTCGATTTTGTTGTTGTTTTCAACCTGTTTCGTACTGCTCTCTCTCTCTCTCTCTCTCTCTCTCTCTCTCTCTCTCTCTCTCTCTCTCTCTCTCTCTCTCTCTCNCTCTCTCTCTCTCTCTCTCTCTCTCTCTCTCTCTCTCTCTCTCTCTCTCTCTCTCTCTCTCTCTCTCCATTTTTGTCTGCTGTTTGTCCTTCCTCGGAAGACATGCGACCCATTCATCTCGGCATGGTGCTTGCCGCAGTCATTCGATGGCTGCGAATGAGGGAGCAGTTGTGCGTGATCGCCGCTATGATGTTCATGCATGCTGTGATGAACATCGTCGCCATGCACAATGCGACGACAATCTTGTTGCTCCTGGCATATAACTTGTATGAAGGACATGGCGGGGGCAGTGCTTTCAATCCGTTGGGAGGCAGACTACAAAGACGGCTTTGGATTCGAGCGCGAGTGGGCGAGACATGGGAGGAGCTTAACATGGACACGAGAAGAAATTCCGTGAGTACACGCGTCTCACGAAGCCCCTATTCCACCAACTCACGAAGCCCCTATTCGACCAGATTTTGGAGCGGATCGCGCCGAGGATACAAAGGATGGACACCCCGTATCGACAGGCATTGCCAGCGTCTTTGAAGTTCGCGTTCGCCCTATACCGATGGGCGACGGGAGGCTATTACTGACAGTGTGGCAACGACTTCGGATTAGGACTGCACAGTGCCGTCAGATGCACGGACGACATCACAAGAGCTCTTTGTGCCGAGTATGGCCATATGTTGTCTTGGTCGACTGGGGATCGCCTGCAAGCGACTTTAGATTACTATGAGGCAGTGCCGGTCCCGTGAACGTGACCGGCACCGGTCACTTGAACGTGACCGGCCGGTCACGGGGGCCAAAATCTGTGAACGGCCGTTCACGTGGTTTCCGCCCACGTGGAGGCCGGAACGGTCGGGATCAGGGCGGGAGGGGGGTGGTGTGGGGCCCTTCTACACCCCCATGCCTTCAAAAAAAAATAAAAAATAATAATAATACTAATAATAAAAAAGGGGTGTGTGTGAAAAAAAATAAAATAAAATGTTTTGGGCGGTGGAGGTGGGTGGGGGTTGGCGCAGGCCCACAGGGCCCTGGCAGAGGAGAAGCGGGGAAAAAAAACAAATTCTCTCTCCCTCCCTCTCTCTCTCCCTCCCTCTCTCTCTCTCTCTCTCTCTCTCTCTCTCTCTCTCTCTCTCTCTCT